TTGATAAAAATTTGTGCAAATGTAGCCAATAGTCGCACCTAATTCAAAATTTCAGCCTGATTGGATGACTGGTGTAGGATTTATTGCAGTTTCAGTTGAAGTTTTGTTAGTTTTTTGCTACTTATACCTCAAAGCGTTACCGATTACTTTGAAATTTGATCACTATTTTTAAAATAACGGTTACATGAGTGTTCTACTATGTAATAATATGTACCGATAAAATAATTATAACAATTTTTGTTATAATTATTTTATTGGTACATGTACAGTTTTCATTTTACAGACCAAATAATGATTTGCTACTTAAAGCGTGATTTGAATTGGCTAATGCCAATGTCGTTGACACGGCCTTTAAAGTGGACGGGGTCAACCCATCTATTTCTAAAATAAAATCCATAATTTCTAAAATAGCTGCCTATATTTCTAAAACAAAAGGTCCTTGCAAAAATAAGTGGGCAGGCCATGGCTCCCTTGACGGCCATGTATAAATAGCGTGAATATACCAACATTTCCTAAGGTATAAACTATTGCCAGAATGCAAAAAAATTCTAAAAAAAATGGTTAAGAAGGATTTCTGGGGATACCTACATAGAAAATAAAAATATTTATTTATCCGAAAACAGAACATCTGTAAAAAAACCAAATATTTTTTATATTGACAAAGATAATTGACTTAAAAAATTTAGATAAGTTAACCAAGGTATCTGACTAATACAAAGATTAGAGCGCCAGTCGAAGGAAAATTACTCTAACTGAATAAATAATTAGGTTGAAGGGTTGTTTGGAAATAAAACAATCCGTGTGACAAGTATCATTAGTTTAATAAGCGTGACAATTATCAATAATGTAATATCCTTACAAGTAAATAGTTTAAACAATTGTTTTCTGGCAAGGAAAGAACTATTTAAGAATTATTTCCTTGTAATTTAATATTACCTCAATTAAATCAAGTAAATATTTTCTTTATTTAAATAGTTTTTAATTAATAATATGTGTTACTATGTTAAGTGGACTGTTATCAAATATAAATTTAGGTCAAATTTTGTAAAAGACAGAGTTTGATTTAGTGAAGTCAAATTTTGTGAATTGCTACGATGCCAAATCATCAAAGAATCATGATGAAAATCAAAAGTTTGTGTGCTTGCTCTGTCTGAAAAAGTGTTTAAGATAGCTTATTACTTTTCAAGCAGATCAAATATGCCAACTGTACAAGACCAAGATCAATATCAGTGATACTCGGGTACCAAAAGGATTCTGCGAATCGTGCAGAATTACTTTGCGCAGGAAACAAGAGGGGAAAGAATTTGCACTTCCTCCTTTGTTTGATTTTAAGTCAATACAAGTGAGACCTAAAACAAGGGACGATGTGTTGTTGCCTAATATGCCGAATTGATCGTTCAAAACTGCAAGAAAAACATCCTCTTGTAGAGCAAACCACTATTGAAAAAAAACCAAATGTGCAATGCTCTCAAATAATGTTAAGGGAAAACATTCAACCTTTAGCAGCATAAAATGTCAAATCATCCGAACAAATCGCATCTCGAGTTATTTCCAATAAAGAATTATCTCCAGAAGGAACTACCCTACTGGCTACAGCATCCGGCGGGCCTCTGCTTACAGTTACCCCTGTTAAATATTTATACTTAAATAATTTTAACATATATATTGAAACCAAGTCTTGACTATTAAGAAATAACACTAGATAGATTTTAAGAAGTATATTTTTGACAAGTTTCTAATTTCTTTAAAAACGAATAATTTGAAAGTTTTATACAAATTTACTAAACAAAGTTTATTGTAACTATAAAATATATATATTTTGATTTTAGGTCAAAGTAGTGCGCAGACACCATCAAGTGCTCCGAAATTGGCCACTGTAGCCCTTGTAAATGTTCAATTAAATACGGGCCTGTCAAACAACGGATTAAAGAAACTTATTAGAACTGTAAACAAAACATCAAGCAGCAAGATGGTAGAGCGAAATTTCAACATGAATTTTCTAAGACTAGGTCAACAATTGAGCGATTTCTTCACCTGCAGTGACTTAAAAATCACAGACGAAAAAACAGATTCTTGTACAGTTTATGTTGTTGCTTTCTGCAATGATTTATCAAGTCTTGTGAATCATGTTATTCAGTCCTGCAAAATTTCTGGTGGCTATTTTGTTAAGCTCGGAATTGATGGTGGTAAAGGTTTTCTTTTGAGGAAAATGAATGCAGGAAGCTTCTTAAAAATTTGGATATGCTGCAGCAACTTGCTGAGACAAACATGGTTCCCAATATTGTGTGCATAATTGAAGCATTCAAAAGCTTCAAATTCAAGTCAAGGTTTGCTTTAAGTAGCAAATCACTATTTAGTCTATAAAATGAAAACTGTACATGTACCGATAAAATAATTATAACAAAAATTGTTATAATTATTTTATCGGTACATATTATTACATAGTAGAACACTCATGTAACCGTTATTTTAAAAATAGTGATCGAATTTCAAAGTAATCGGTAACGCTTTGAGGTATAAGTAGCAAAACTCTAACAAAACTTCAACTGAAACTACAATAAATCCTACACCAGTCATCCAATCAGGCTGAAATTTTGAATTAGGTGCGACTATTGGCTACATTTGCACAAATTTTTATCAAATTATATTGAGTGGTTAAAATTCTACAAGTGTTTTTATTAGCGCACTATGAAGTCAAAATTTGACTTATTTTGAACATTCAAATGAAATTATTTTTCGCGGACAAAATTAAATGATTTCCAAATTTGCATCACAGGGTACCTTGATGTGTACGCTAACTTTCCGTATAAGTGGCGTTCTTGGGACAGCTAGGTAGGCATTATAAGGAACCGTACGAACCGTGATTACCATATTTGGGCAATTTTAATAAATTAGTGTTTTTTGATAAATACTTTTTTGATAAATACTTTTTAGATGACAGCTAAGATAATAATTTATTAAGTATACTTAAAGAAAAAAAAATTAACAAAATTAATTTAGGGGCCTGGTTCCTACTGTTTAATGATAAAAGGTTTTCGTTTTAAAAAAAAACTATTTGGTCAAAAAAATAATGTTAGTTTAATAAAATTATAAGGAAAGGGTTCTAATGGTTTGATATTGCAACATATATTTGAAGGTAAAAGTAAAAAAAGTAAAAAATGTTTATAACTTTATAATTAATCATAAATTAAGTTTTCAAACATATCATCAAAATACCTCTTTGTTTTTACATACGCTCACAAGATTTGCTTGTAAGTTCATTTGAACTACAATCTTGGCATAACTTTGGAGAATACAAATGGATAATTTGGTTTAAAACACCAGGATAATATCTTTATGAAAAATGACTCATCACAGCTGTAAGCTCTTTTATATTTTATGTCTTACGAGGGAGAAGCTTTAAATAGTTTCTTATATCTTTATTGTTTCCTTCTAGACCTTCCACTGATAAGTTGCGAGGGCCATAACCATCATTAAAAATGAATAATTCAGATGAGTGATGAAGGACTCCATGAAGAGTGGGTTTAATATTTGCCCATGGTATATTTAAGTTAACGTTAAGTGTAGCATTATTACACAATTCTTGAAATTTGTCTATTTTAATTTTAAGTCAGCAAGAAACTATACAAAGTATTACACTAATTTGAGAGTGTATTAGTAAGATGCTCTTTTTGTAGATAAATGGGCATAAGTCTTTTATGTTCTAAAAATCTACTTCCTAATGACTCTGTTGTTGATGTCCCTCCCTTCTCACCAAAGTTGAAACACATCTAACTCTATCTAATTGCATTCCAGTGTTTTCTTTAATTTTAGTAATAAACCTGTCTTTTGCATTACGTAGTGGTTTACCAAGCAGTCCTGTTTTTTCAAAATTAGAGTCTTTAATGTATACGACACCGATAGAGTAGTTTAAATACCAAGTTAGTCCTATTTATATATGAATATAAATATACATATACGGTCCTGTAAACATCCTCAACTTCATAAATAGTATATTTTGATGATTGTGAGGATATAAATGCATATCCTTATTTTTTTAAATGTTTTTATTTCAGGCGTTTATAACGTTTACATGCTTTTTCACACACATTTTCAAAGTATTTCTTTTATGGCAGAATATTTAACTGAGCTTGGCTCAATAGTTTAGCCCGCTTTAATAAATTGTATGAATAAATCTACTTTATTGATGTATTTTATATTTTTTATTTTTCTTCATTACATTTATTTTTTAGTTTACTTTACTTATGCTAAACACAAACAAAATCAAATCAAATAAACAAGTTAAATATTTTTCATAATTTTAACTAAAAATGAAATATTCTCATATTTTAAGAAAGAAAAAAATAGTGACTGTTTAACCTTTTTAAATCCTGTAAATTTAAAAAAGTGCTAACTTGCCTCAATTCCCACTAAAATACTTGAAAAAAAGAAATGTAATATATTTAAAAAATGTATGACACAGTAGAGTTAGCACTTTTGAAAAAAAAAAGAATTATTCTGTTTTTTTTTGTAAAAAAAACAACAACATAAATTTACAACAAAATTACCTAGTTAAATTTTAAAAAATCAATAAAAAAGAGTAATTCAAATAAATTATACATTTTAAATTATTTTATTCAAAAATATATTCCATATCAAATTAAAAACAACTTTTACATAAGTGGTTTAGCAACTTTTATGTTGATAAATTCATTTTAAATGAAAACCAACCGAATTTTATAAAATTCCATAAATACAAAAATAGTTTAGAAATTCGTCAACTTCAAAATTATATATCATCAACTAGAAATTAGCTGAATGCATAATTTTTTTTTTATTTACCCAAAAATTTATCTGATCTTCTGAATAAACAATTTGTATAGGCTTTCTCAAATTTTTTTTTTTTTATATTTCCAGCTCTGGGCCCAGTGTGCGCCGTAAACATCCTAATTTTTACGGAATTTCGTGATCATTTGAATGTTGTAAACATGAACCTTTAAATTTTCTATTTTAAATTAAAAGTTATTGTTAAAAACACTCATAATTCAAAATTTTTCTGAACTGAGTGTGCAACGATGAAGCCTTGATTATAAATAATAATGTCAGTAACATAAAGTTAACAACATTAAGTTAGTTAACATAATATTATTGTGATTATGTAACTTAATGTTATTGTTACTACTGAGTATTCCGAGATCATAATTTTTTATGTTACGCAAAAACAAACATTTAAAGATATTTAAATAATAATAAAAAAAAAAAAACAAATAAGCGTCTATTGCATAAATATTCCTTATTCTTAAATTATTTGACATTTAATTACTCATTCAAAAGTTTTCAACCATGAAACAGGATGAAGGAGTCGAAAAAGCAAGTGAAGGATCTTCAAGTTTTTATGGCAACCTGATATGTCCTGCATTCACAACTGTATCAAAAGGTGATGGTTTTGAGAAGAGATGTTACGAAGAGTCAACATGGGTAACAACATCAATTCAAGCTTCAAATAATCAATCCACCTGTGAGTTATTAGGCATTAACTTAGTTTCATAACTTTTTTCATATCCTTAATTTACAGCAATTTTTTTAAAATAAGTAATAACTAATTTACCAATTTAATTAACAATTACCACCACAGCAACTACAATAACGCAATAACAAAAAATAAGTGTATCAAATTCAAATAATTATAACCAAAGAAAAAAAAAAGTTAAATAATTACTTTTATAACAATATTATGCTAATACTCTTTTGAATAAGTTTTATTTTAAACAGCAAAATAAAAATAATAGTTGTTTTGGTCCATCATTCTTGATTTTGGGTTGTATATGTGTGTGTGTGTGTGTGTGTGTGTGTGTGTGTTTATATATATATATATATATATATATATATATATATATATATATATATATATATATATATATATATATATATATATATATATATATATATATATATATATATATATGTATATATATATATATATATATATATATATATATATATATATATATATATATATATATATATATATATATATATATATATATATATATATATATATATATATATATATAGTTCTATAAAATGTTGCATTTAGGAGTACAGAAAGTGAAAAATGATTCTTTTGACAACAAATGCGTCACTTTTAATTACTTTTGACTTTCGTCCAATTAACTATTAACTTGATTGTAAATTAATCATTTTTTTGAAAAACTGCAAAAATGCAAATTTAACTAACCAGAATGTTTTTAAAAATATAAACAATGTTTTTATTTTTATTTTATTTGATAAAATGTTTTTATTTTATTTTTACTTTAAATCATGTATGAAGTGTTGCTACATCAACTATCTTATAGCCTGCTGCTACAAGGGAGTGCTGCCATCGACTATCTTATAACCTGCTGCTACAAGGGAGTGCTATATATATATATATATATATATATATATATATATATATATATATATATATATATATATATATATATATATATATATATATATATATAATATATAATTTTTTTTTTCTTGTTACAGGCTCTAAACATTGCTAACTATTATTCATTTTTATAGTTTTTTAGCAAAAACTTATTTTTGTGCCTGCACCTAGAAATCAATTCCGATTTTTTGTTTAGCAAACATTCTTGGTTTACATATGTACTTATTTCAAATTTTTCTTGCATATAGCATGCATTTTTTAGAAATATTGTTGTATGCAGGCGCTGTTTTGAGTATGGACCAATTCATTATAAAATCATCAATATTTTTATCCTTTAGTTCCCATGTATTTTTTGACAGCATGGTGTCTTTTGAATATTTTTTATTTTTAAAAGATTGCTTATGATTGGCAAAACGTTTTTTCCATTAACCCTCTGTTATGCCAATATATTGTTTATCGGGTCCGTTCTTAGAGGAAACAACACATTTATATACCACATTTTTTGATAAACAACTTCCACTCATTGGACAATTGTTTTTGTTTTAATAGAAATACAATTAAAGTTGCACAAAAAATATGGAAAGAATTATAAAAGGTCACAATGCTTTGTTAAATAAAAAGAAATCCTAAATGAAAAAACTACAGAAAATTTTAATTGTCTATGAGTATTTATTGATGAAACACAGTGTAAAATGGAAAAAAAATTTGTTAAATGATTTTCTACTTATTATATATATATATATATATATATATATATATATATATATATATATATATATATATATATATATATATACATATATATATAAATATATATATATATATATATATATATATATATATATATATATATATATATATATATATATATATATATATGTGTATATATATATATATATATATATATATATATATATATATATATATATAAAATAAAACTTTTGTCCATAAATACGTATGTGGACATGAGTTTTACAATATTTATTGACATAAAAAATTAGTTAAAAAACAGGACCAGAAATTTTTTGGAAAATAAAAAAATTGCCTGCTCTCACCAAAACCCTAAGTTAATGTAACAGCACCCCTTGCATGTTCTACCTATTTGTAAATAAATTGTAAGCTTAAATAATGTGTTTTAGGGACAGCTCAGTTAACTTAAAAAGTCCCTAATATTTTGAAAAAAAGCTTTTCAAAAGTATGCTAAGTTGGGTCTTAAAAGTAGCAAAATTATATACAGTATGCAAAAAAAATAATCGTACACTTAAAAAAAAATCATAATTTTAAAGATTGCATCAAAAAAATGAGTTGTCTGATAAAATATTCAAAAGCTTTTTTTTAGATAACTTATCAAGTGTTGTTTTAAGAATTTATTTGTGCATTGGTGAATTAATTGCTTTTCAAATCTATTGAATTTTTAACAATTGATCTAAACTGATGCATAAAATTGACTGCAAAAAAATTATTGTACAGTTTAAAAATTATGTCAAATTGATCAAACTCTATGGAAATTAGTATCAAGAGGGACCTTCTTTAGCCTTGATGGCCTCAACTAGATAAATTTGGGTCTCTTCAATTGTTATATTATCCCATGCGCTCATTATATCAAAAAAACCTTTGAAATAAACCTTTTTTATATAGCTATTTCTATATTCTTGTTCTCTTACACAATTTCTGATTGTTTGAGGAGTCACTGTGATGTTACAATCTTTTTGAATTTTCAAAGCTAACTTAGCTGCAAAAACAGATTTATTTTTCTTCACATTAATGATGACAATAATTATGTTTTGATCAATTGCACTAGTGGTTTTGCATTTTTTTTCTCTAACAGCCACACTGGTTCCAATCAGATAATGCTTCTTAACAATTGAAAAAAATAAAGTTATGCTTTGACACAAATAGTATCAATGTTTTGGAATGGCCATCTCAAAGTCCGGACTTGAATGCAATGGAAAACTGATGGTATTTTTTGGACAGATAAATTGGCAATCGAGCATTTAGGCGCAAAGACAACTTGAAAGAAGCTATAATGAGGACATGGGATAATATAACAGCAGAAGAGACCCAAATTTTGGCTAACTCAATATCAAACCATCTAGATGAGGTCATAAAGGCTAAATGAGGCCCCCTTGATACTAATTTCCATGGAGTTTGGCATCAATTTGACATTATTTTTGAACTGTCGATTATTTTTTTTTTGCAGTCAATTTTATGCATCATTAGATCAATTGAGAAAAATTCAATAGGTTTAAAAAGCAAATATTTTACCAATACACAAAATTCTTAAAACAACGCTTGATAAGTTATCTAAAAAAACTATTGAATATTTTATCGGACAACTTATTTTTTTGATGCAATCTTTAAAATTATGATTTTTTTTAAGTGTACGATTGTTTTTTTTGCATACTGTATAAATTTCAAAAAATTTCATACTTCAATTATTATAATTTAGTTGCATAAAAACTATGATTTTTTAACTAGAAATAAAAAAAGTGCATTTTTACTATGTATAAGTTATCAAGTTAGTATAAATTAATATATATATATATATATATATATATATATATATATATATATATATATATATATATATATATATATATATATATATATATATATATATATATATATATATATATATATATATATATATATATATGTATGTATGTAGGGGAGAGTGATGTACCTTGTTGGCATGTCAGTTATGCTGCCATCTTAAGTGATGAATTCAAACTGAAATTTTAGTTGCATGTATTGGCCACTAAAGGCTCATATTAAGTTGTTTTACCATGGCTTAACACATTTGTTGTTGCAATAAAAATAAAAGTTTGTTTCCGGTACCAAAAAATAATTTTTTTAGAATGCATATTTTTTTCTACAACTGTTGGTATAAACTTTATTTTAAAACTGATTATCAAAAATTATAAAGCATGTTTTCAGCTGCGTTTATGCATGCTTGAAACTGCTTAACTCCTAACCTATAAACATATAGTAGCGATTTTGTAAAAACTGTGGTAACGGTGTACTTTGGAGTTAGCTAATGTTGTGTACCTTAGTGGTACCACCAAGGTACAAACTTGCATGATTTTGTTAACACTATTATAAATAATATTTGTTATGAAAGTATTTTTTTAATGTAATATGTTGTAACAGTTTATTATTATTATTATTATTTGTTTATTAAGAATTTCTTAGTATAATATAATGTGTGTATTTCTTTGTTAAATTGTAATTATTTTTCTCAAATTGTAATCTTCTCTTTGATAATTTTCTCGAATTATCAAAGAGATTATAAAGCTGTGTATGAGTTGAACAAATTAGACATAGTCTTTTAGTTGCCATATCCCTCTATTACAGGAGGTTCAGCACAACAGCTGGAAAAACTCTTTAACTTTGATTACCTGAATGTAGAGTAGACAAATGCTAAATTAAAGTGTAATACTTATTATTACTAAACTTTAATGTAGATTTTTGTTATTACTCTTTTCTTAATCAACTTTATTTCTTTTGTAAGTTTTTAATACTTCTAAGTGTAAGCTAGTTTAAACTTATAATCATATATAATTTCAACATAAGTATAAATTAATATATAGTTTGTATAAATCTAACTAATCCTCTGAGGTCCACCACTCTCCCCTATATATATATATATATATATATATATATATATATATATATATATATATATATATATATATATATATATATATATATATATATATATATATATATATATATATATATATATATATATATATATATATATATCGCAGGGGATAGCCTACCGAAAGTCGGTAGCGGAAAAATAAAAGTTATTCTACCGAAAGTTTTTTTTTATTGGTTGAGAATATCACGTGTCACAATAAAATAGCTAAATATAATAATTTTTAAATTGTAATACTGTAAGTTTATGTAGCGTTATGTATGGCGTTGTTGGCCTATATATATCTGTGTGTGTATAAATATATAAGTATATAAGTTTATATATAGTATATATTATATAGTTGAAGTAAATAAGTTTAAATTTATTTTGTTTTGCAGCGTTTCGAACAATGTTTCAAAACCTCTTTAAATATATTAGTGGAGAAAATGATCAAAACGTTAAAATACCAATGACCGCACCCGTTCTTGTCTCAGTAAAATCGTTGCCGGAAAATTTTAGGGACATTAAAATGCATTTTTTTGTTCCTCCTACAAGCTTAGTTATACCAAAACCTACTTCAGATGCTGTGAAGCTTGAAAAATATCCTAAATTTTGTGCATACGTTCGAGTTTTTGGCGGTTATCAGATGGGTGTTAATAAAGACATGTTTTTTCAGCGTAAGCAGCTTACAGATGCACTTGATAAAGCCGGTCTAAAATATAATGAAAAGAATTTGATTTATGCAGGTTACAATTCACCTTTTAAATTGTTTAACAGGCATAATGAAATTATGGTAGAAATTGATTCACAAGAATCGGCTTTTTAAAGCAGTATTTAAAACAAGCTTTAATTCCAACTAGATCTACAAATAAACCCACGACAAGTATTTTAAGTAGATTATTTAACTAAGTAAAAGTCTTGTGGAAAAGAAATTATCAGGAAAAATTCAAAGTAGCGTAACTCAAGATGCCAGAAAAAAATTGTAGCCCTCTTGCTATTCCATTGATAATCGTACAACTTTAAATCCATTTGTGCCGTGTTTTTTGTCGTAGTGTAAAGATTATTTATCGTATCAGTTCTTATGGCGTTGTTGTTGTTGCTAACAACAAATGTTTATGCAGATTCTTATTAAAAAATCGTTTTCTGCTTCAAACGTTATTATTTTTTAAATAATATTATAGATTTGTTTTACTTAAAAAATATTCAAAAGTTGTTGATTTTGAAATCGTCAAATTTTATTGTCCGCAATAATAACATCCAAAAAATTCAAGTTTTTTCTATCTTTCAGCTCCGTAATATATTTAAGGTGAATATTTTTCTATCTTTCAGCTCCATAATATATTTAAGGTGAATATTTTTCTATCTTTCAGCTCCGTAATATATTTAAGGTGAATATTTTTCTATCTTTCAGCTCCGTAATATATTTAAGGTGAATATTTTTCTATCTTTCAGCTCCGTAATATATTTAAGGTGAATATTTTTCTATCTTTCAGCTCCGTAATATATTTAAGGTGAATATTTTTCTATCTTTCAGCTCCGTAATATAATTAAGGTGAATATTTTATTGATTGAGAATATCAAGCAACTTGATAGCTTGATATTCTCAATCAATTTCTCTAACTTACCAATCGTAGTATAAAAGGTGTCTACAATGGACAGCATTCTTCTTCATTTTCTGTAACTTCAGGTGTCCTCATGGTTCTATCTTTGAGCCCATACTTTTTTAAATTTACATTGACGATGTTCCGGAAATTCCCATATTTAAGGTGACATTGTTCGCTTAAAATACTACCTTTTATTCTTGCCGTGATAAGAAACCAACACTTTCTGATTTGGAGGGGACATTTGAGCTTGAAAAGGATCTCACTTCTGCCACAGCATGGGGCTTTCAGTGGCTGGTGAACCTTTACTCAGATAAAACTCAATATTTTTCAGCTAATCGCTATCGCAACAATCTAGATCTTCCTATATTTATAAACGGTAATGTACTCGATGAGTCATCTACCCTTCGTCTTCTAGGATTAACTCTTACTTCCGATCTTTCTCGGAAACTATATATCAAATCCATCGCAAAATTAGCATCTGCTTAGGTTGTATCTCTTTATAGTGCTCGCCACTTTCTTACTCCGGATTCTATTCTTTATCTCTATAAATCTCAAATCCGTCGTTATATGGAAAACTGTTGCCATGTGTAGTGAATCTTCGAATGATGTCCTTTCTCTTTTAGACAACGCGCAAAAATGCATTGTAAACATAGTTGAACCTGCTTTCACAGCCAAACTTCAACTATTGTCACATCGTCGTAAAGTTGCTTCTCTTTCTCTTTTCTAAAAATTCTATGATGGGCGCTGCTCTAAAGAGCTAGCGTCTTTTGTTCTATCTACTAAAAATCCTTCTCGTGTTACTCGTCATTCAATTAAGTCTCATCAACTGTGACTGCTCCTAAGTACTCCAAAAAGTTTAGTTTTTCCATGGAACATCGAATCTTTGGAATTCGCTCCCTTTATCTTGTTTTCCTGATTCAAACAATTTGCAACCTTTCAAGTCGTCTGGTGATCGTTATCTTGCTTTATAAGCTTTATCTTTTCACTTCCAGTAACTTCTAAATTTTTTTAATGTTGACCACAATAGGTTAGTTTCGCTAACCTATTGTGATCAATATCATTAGGCAATAATAAAACGTTACAAAATAACATAAAACAAACCGTTTAAAAAGAAGACATTAAAAAGCATCAAATATAAAAACCAATTAATTAATATAATAGTGATGTCAGTTAAGTTTTTGTCAAAATGGGTCCCCAAGTTCTTGTTTTAACCTTACCCCCATCATTTCGATTAAGAACACCTTGCTCAAAATCTATTATAAAAAAGCATGAGTTCGATATCTCATATCGAACTCTCGATATTTCATATCGAACTCTTGCTTTGTTAATCTCCAGGAATTCTCTAATTTTTCTTTTCCTGTATTTTGGAACGATTGCCAAGGTCTTAGGATTTAGTCAAAGTTACCTCGGCATGTTCTAGAATGTTCCGTGGCTTCTGAACTCGACCATTTTTGATTTTTATAAGCTCTTTGGTGTTCTGCACTTCTTGAAATGATTTTCTTTTTGGTTTCACCAATATATATATTTCTACATTTAAGTTGGTTCCGAACTCCCAGATTTGAGTTCGGAAGTAGTTTTGTTTTGTCCTTGCCAATTTATATTTATTTCAGCTCCCAATTTAAATTGAGAGCTGAAGTAAATATAAATTTGATGCTATGTTTTCTAAATTCTCTTCAGATTTTTGGGCCAATTATAGGTATCCAAGGTTGTTTAACAAACTGTTAATCTAATTGGTTAGATGTAGTACTTTTTGAAACGCGGTCTAAATAGTTTTTGGTTATTTTAATAAGATAACTTTTGTTATAACCGTTTTCAAAAAAATGTATTTTTGAGGAAATCAATTTCTTGTGAGAGATATTTTTAGAGCAGACTTGTTTTTTTCTACATAAAAAACCTTTAAAAACGCCATTAATTATGCTTGGGTTAATGTTGGAGTTCGGTTTTATTTGAACACTTCTTATCGCATCCTTACGGTGAACTTGAAACTTATAAAATCCATTCATTGTATTTGTAATACAAATTCTAAAAAATTAAGTTATTTTCTTTCGTTTTCAAGTTCAACCATATATTTTATGGTTTAACATATAAACATACAATACACATTTTATGGATATATATATGTATGTGTATATATATATATATATATATATATATATATATATATATATATATATATATATATATATATATATATATATAATATATATATATATATATATATATATATATATATATATATATATATATATATATATATATATATATATATATATATATATATATATATATATATATATATATATATATATATATATATATATATATATATATATATATATATATATGTATGTATATACGTTAATTTTTCCTGTAAAAGTATAAAATGGCTTTCGTTCTCTTTTAGTGTGTTTGTGTGAGCTTTAAGTGTAAAATAATATCTTTTCATTAAAACTTTAATCACAAACAGATAATTATACAAGAACATTTCATTAAATTTATTTATTCGCTCTTCTCTCCATGCATGCGTCTACCACCACTATCTGCTGAGTTATGCAGTGAAGCGATGATGGCTTCGCTAATATCTTTGTCTGTAGCAGTTATGCAAAGTCTTCGAAAAACACAAAACTATATAAATATATAGTTAGTTATTTAGTTATAATAAGTTGGAATGTTCGTTTATCGGCTCACACGAAGTAACCCATCCGAGGATAAGCCACTGTAGCAACTTTGCTGAAGGTTGTCCAGCCGATTCTTGTTTCTGCGTTTATTTCTGCGTTCATTGCTTTTTCTGCGTTTACTGTATTGTCGGATAGCGAGTTCCAACAGTTCACGATTTGTAAGTGAAGAAATTGCTTCGCAGTGCGCTGTTACGGACTACGACCCGCTCTTGGCTCTCTTGTGATTGTTGGTACATACCATTTCACTTTGTTGATTCCATTTAATATTTTAAATTGTTAAATGAAGTTGCTGCTTTGTCGACGCAAAGTTAGACTAGTTAGGTTGAGTTTGATTAGCCTTTCTTCATAGCTATGTTGCCTTATTGTGTGTCCAATTTTGATGGCTCGTTGCTGAACTTTTTCAAATATTTTTTGGTCGATGGTGACCAAGTAACCATGTTTGGTGACCAAGTGACCATGTTTTTCGTCGATGGTGACCAAGTGCATACTGCATATTCCAAATGTGGTCTGACATATGTTGTATAAAGTTTTTTCCTAATAGTAGATCTAGCATAGTGTATGTCGCTGATTTGTTTGCTTGTCAATGTGCATCACTTTCAATTTACTAAGATTTAGTTGCATTTGCCAAGTGCAGTACAAATCACTTATCTTGTTGATGTCATCTTGCAGGCTTTTAGTATCAAGCTTTTCGTATCCTGGCCGAGATGGTGCTATTAATTTGGTGTCGTCCGCAAACATTTTGCAACAAGAGTTAATTTTGCCTGTGAGCTCGTTAATAAAGATGGCAAACAGAATTGGTCCTAGCTCGGATTCTAGGACAACACCGCTAAACACTGATGCCCATCGTGATGTTGTGTCGCCTAGAATAACTCGCTGTCGTCGATTTGTTAAAAATGAGTAAATCCATGCAAGCAGTTGACCTGTTATTCCATATTTGCTCAGTTTTTCAATAAGGCTGGTGCGCTGTGCTAAATCAAATACACGTGAAAAGTCGGGAAATACGATATCTAGTGGTATTTTTTTTTGCCATTGTTTAGGTGGCTAAGTCCATAGTTTCTAAAAGGTTTGTCGTACATGATTTATTTGGGACAAAACCATATTTTTTGCTACAGAAAAGGTTTGTTTTTGTGAAGTAGTTGATAATTTCATTTCTTACTATTTTCTCCATAATTTTGCATGGGACCGAAGTCAAGCTGATTGGTCTATAGTTTCCGGGATCTGTTGGGGTTCCATTTTTAAATATCGGCGTTACGTTTGCGTCTAGATATGCTGTTGGTATTTCTCCTGAACGCAATGAGAAATTAAATATTATCAATAGTGGCTTGGCGAATTCGGTGGCGAGTGCTTTTAGAATGAATGGGTGAACGTTATCTGCTCCTTGTGATTTGTTTCCATCAATTTGAAGTAATAAACTTTCTACTTTGTCATCTGTAATGTTTATTTTGTCTACCCTCTTATTTGTTCTATGGTCAAGTGTGTTAATTTGTACGTCGTATCTTTTACTAAAGACGGACTCGAATTGGTGATTTAATATATCGGCTATGTCCTTTTTACTGTTTTTTAGATTTGAGAGCTTGTATTGAAGTAGATACTTTTAATTTGCTATTTATATGTGAAAAGAGTTTTTTGGGATTTTTTTGTCTTTTTGATGCTTTTCTAATATCTCTACTTTGAAAAAAACTGAACTTGTAAAAAGGAATACCGCAATATACATTGCGGTATTCCTTTATAAGTTCAGTTTTTTTCCATTTTGAGGCTATGTTTTGTTTCCACAGCTTTGTATTAAGTTGAGATAATTTTTTTAATTTATTGGTCACCCATAGCGCTTTTTTAGTTGTTAAATTTATTCATTTTTATGGAATGAATTTTTCACATAGATCATAGTATAAGTTAAGTAATTTATCATAGCTTTCATTTGTGGTTAAGTTATCTAGGTAG